ATGCACCAAGAGCTTGTAACACTCTAAAGAAATAATGTTCTTTTTAGCAGCATCATATGACCCCTTTAAAGCAGTGTTTCAGTGCAGCTCTGCTTTGTTTACTGCGATAATCAAGGAAACGCTGTATCAGCGCCTCCTGCTGTCAGAGAGTGAATCTGCAGTTCCATTCAGAGCTTCTGCTGTTTGCTTCGTTCAGGCATGTAGTATAATTTCACAAAGCTAGTCAGAACATTCTGTTTTTGCTTCAAATTGGGTTATTATTAAATCAAATTATCTATATGAAATTATATAAATAAATGATATGAAATTACATAAATGATATGTATATGAATTATATAACTAAAATTAAATAACTGTAATTAGAGATTTAGGTTAAATAAAGATGTCAGTCTTTATTTTTCTTCTTTTTAGGGCAGCAGTAGCTCTAGCAGCAAATCAACCATCCACATCAAAAGCTGCAGGACAGCCCACATTTCAGAAACAAATCAAAGAAAAAATAAACAAATACTACTGTTCCAAATATTCTGTATGTTGCTCAAAATACATTGTGTTCCGTTTTTTTGTTTTTTTTCACACAGACATTTAAAATTAACACATTTTAGAGCTGTAACAACAATACCGTGATACTGTGAAACCGTGATATTTTTGCTTAAGGTTATCATACCGTCAAAATCTCATACCGGCCCATGCCTACACTGAAGACTGGAGTAATGGCTGCTGAAAATTCAGCTTTGTCATAACAGAAATAAATAATTTAAAATGTATTAAAATAGAAAAGTTATTTTAAATTGTAATAATATTTCACATTAATATAACATACACTTCTGCTTTTACTGTATTTTTTTTATCAAATTAATGCAGACTTGGTGAGCATAAAAGACTTATTTCAAAAACTAACTGAACTTTTGAACAGCAGTGTACTCACCCTCATGAGGTTCCAAACCTGTACAACTTACTTTCTTCTGTGGAACACAAAATAATATATTTCTTGAAAAATATCCCCATATTTTTTGTCTATACAAGGAAAGTCCAATGTTGACTTTTGGACCCCACTGAATTATACTTTATGGACAAATGAATTTAAACCTTTGTCAAAATATCTTCTTTAGTGTTCCACAAAATAAAGAAACTCATATAGGTATGAAATAATGCATGTCTGTAAGCAATGTACACATAATTCTCAATAAAGCTTAAGTGTCCCACTTTATCTGTATTCAACCTAATTGTTTAAACTTTTATTCAAGAGTTTTTTAAGCAGCCCAGAATTGTTCAACACTCATTTGACCTAGATTTGCTCAATTAAATGTTTATCAGTGAAAATCAGAGATGTGGACTTGAGACTGAAATCACTGACTTTTACTCAAGTCACAATGTTGACGTCTTATTGCTTGGCAAACACTATATTTAACTGTAGACTGAACTTCACCCAAGTTGCTGTCAGACAGTGTTTGGAAAGTGTCAAATATGTGTGCAGGGGAAAAATATCAGATATGACAATTCAAAACATCATTAACTACATCAGACATCCAAAAGAACATTGTCAATGTCTGAACAAATTTGGTTGTAAAAACAAGAAAAGATGTGTGATAACTTCATAATGCTGGAATGTACAGCAACGAGCCCAATGGATATTTAACAAGTAATGCTGAGACTAAGTTTTGAGTTTTTAGCTCAATTTAATCTCATATGTGTTGCTCTTCTGACATTGTTTTACTTCCACATATTTACATTTTAGCATATTTTAATACTTAAACCTAACATGAAACAAAAGAAATTTCCATCATAACTAAGAATTAATGACAGTTAAAACCAGAGAACCTTGACTAAACAAACTGTGACACGTCCCGAAGTCAGGCAGAAATGTAGACATAAAGGTTAAAATGGCTTTGTAGACATTAACAAAGGTAATTGTGATGATAGATGTCACTGCATGGTGAAGTCTAAATGTATCTGTTTTTACTTTGGCTTAACTGTACAGCAGGTAAGACCAGTCTCATCACTTCAGGAGGCGAGGATGAGAGCACATTATAAAAAAAAGTAATTACAAACTTGGTTTGAACTTCAACTAAAAGTGCTATTATGAAAATTAAAGATTTACCATAATTAAAGAAAGTATTAGAGTTCAAATGAGGTAAGTTTTTGTATCCTTCTCAGTTCTGAGATGAGAAACTAATAAAGAATCTTTAATTATGAATTTAAAAAAAGTAACATCCAATAACACTGCTTTTCTGATAACAGGGGAACCATATAATACTCAAAATTCAAAATACTGGATATTTGGATTTGAAAACCAGTAAATACCAGTGTTACAAAAGAAAAAGCAAGCACTGCACATTCATTGTGTCTCTGACATAAAAATAATAATCAGTAATGTGTATAATAAATTTATAATTCCTACATAATATACGTAATAAACTACATACAGTTTATTTAATATGTAATTATTTCCTGCAGCAGCCTATACGGTACATTTTTATTAATAGTTCTATGGTAATTACATGAATATTTAATATAGACACTAGTAGATGGGAAAAGAAAAACAAGTACTTCTAACCCCACATCAGAGGTATGGAGCTTCATTTTCAACTTCAGACTTTTTTTTTACTCAAATCAAATCAACACAAACTGTGCTTTGTAAAAAAAACACAGACGTTGTTCTGGCAACATAACGGATGCAATGCAGCATAAACTACTGTATAAAACAGTCTGTCTACTACAATGGACTTTCTGAAATTTGTATAAGTTAAAATGACATTGCAATGCATCAGAAATCGCCTCGTGTTCTGTCTAGCTATGTTTGACTGTGTCCTGAAGGGCCTTTATCTTAAAAAGATAAAGAATTCACTGAATAAGGTAAGAGAATACAGATTGTGCAAGCACCATATGGTCCCTGTTTTCGACCGTAGGTGCCATCTCCAGTTACTTCACCTAGAAACCTTTGAGAGAGGAAAATGGAGCTGCTAAATCTATTCAGCGTGGTAGTAATCCAGAGATTAGCATGAAAAATTCCACACCGCCGCCACACAATGGCCCATCTCACTATCACTCAACAGGCCAGACCAGTTAGAAAGAAGCCGGGCGCATTGAGGCTGGCCAGAGTGGGCATGTTTAATGTCATTCCATTCACTGTAGTCACTATAGCAACTGGCCATGGGTGTGTTACATTTGCATGTTAGAGGGAAGGAAAGCTGTTTACGAACATAGTTATTAAGATTGTTTAATATGAGCCGTCCATCTCAGCTGCAAAGCTTTCTGTGCATCTGCTGTAACTGTAACCATGGCTACGGTGTCGGGCAAAGGATGCTGTCATGAGGGTTTCAAATGAACTCGGAATATCATTGAAAAAAAAAAAAAAAAAAAAACTGTCTGAAAATAATAATGTGGAGATTTTTATTATTGTTGTACTGTGCTTTTCTAATATGTGTTGGAGATTGTGGCTACAGTTAACAGAATCCATTCTACACAGGACGGTTTGGGGGTCAACCGAGGACTTACCGGTCTATGCTGGAGGTCATTTTTGTAGTGTGTTCAGGGTTGCAGTTGTAGAGAGATGACCTTTAAGCGTGAGGTAGACATTTGTACATTAACCTGAGTAATAAAATGGAGAAGAAGAAAAAAAAAAAACACACACAACAGCATTTATTTAATGCGATTTAAATTAGGCACTCTCTAAACAAACAAACAAACAAATAAATATTTATATAAATAAAAAATAGTTTCTACTTTACACTTCTACTGGTGTATTGGGGTTGTGATGATAAATATAAAATGTAAATATAATATAAAATAATATAATATAATAAATCTAAAATATAATATAAAAATTTTATTAAATGTAGAATAATGGATTATGGAGTTTAAGTATTTGCTTTAAGTTTTTTGTTCTGTTTTTTTTTTTTTTTAACAAAGACTACTTAAAAAGAGTAGAATACCGATATAACAGCAGTATCAAAGTAAACAATCAGAATTTAAAAACTTAACCATAAGATCTATTTAGTTGCATTTAGAGGGCAAGGTCTAAATTTAAAGGTCTAATACTGACACACATATGTTTTTGTTCCATTTGTTTACATTCACATAAGATAAAAATGACTGTGTTTACAGCTGATAGAATGGCCTAGCATTTTGTTTTAGTATCGACCTTGTAGTGAAGTATTGGTACTTTTGACATCTTTGTTTTGTACTGTAGTTACAATAATGCCCTGCTGCTGAAATTGTCGTCTCCTGTAAGATAAATTACTTGCGTTTTTCCTCATTTGTAAATCATTTTAAATAAAAGTGCCTTCTAAATTATTAAATTAAAATGAAACAATGATGCATGAGGAATAAATACAATAATTTAATAATTCATTCAAATATAAACTTACCTCCAGGCCTTAAGGAAGGAAGAGAGGAGCTTGCCACAGGATGTAGGATGAGGACAATTGTTGGACAAGACAGAAGGTGTGTGTGAATATTAATGTTTTTGTGTGCAGGGTCAAACAGAGAATTCTGAGGTCACGGTAGAAAAGCCTGCAGTGGGTCCCTGTGGGGTGTATGTGCTTTCATTCGGGTGTGAGACTGGAGGCACCACATGTTAGCACTAGCCACCTCCTAAAAAAAAAACTGAAACAATTTACATCATGATTACTTTCATTTATAAGTAATGAAAGTCATATGTTTAATATATACTCCTTAAGTAATTTTAACTTAACCCTGCAAAGCCTGACCTATGAAATAATAGTCAAAAATTGAACAGTTTATTGAAACTTTCAAAAAAAATATATAAAAAAATCAAAAAACAAGAAAAGAAAAAAAGAAGAAATATAAATATTACTTAATTAAAAAAGAAAAAGTTTGCATATGCGGGTTTTGTGACCCAGATAGTATGATATAGGACAATATGGAGCTTATACTTGAGGGTGAAAAAAACACCTCAATTTTATTCAGAGGCCAAAACAGAGCAAAATGATGCAATTTTGTGCAGATGCTGATATAAGATGAAATGTAATGAAAATATAATGTAAATCAAGGTGATTTTTGTAGAATAGCAGACTACTTGCATTAAATACATATAAATATCAGTTGCCCCAATAATGTCTTAAGATGATATTTAAATGCTAAAAACTCTATAGTTTTAATTGTTCTTCAAAAGCTTGTTGTATCATATTTTGTATCATATTTTATACTCACATTTTAACATGATTTTTCGGGGGGAAAAAAGAGGAAAAAAAACATTAAGTATGGATAATCAAGTAAACTTAAGTTGCTTCAGTCGAGTAAGTGTTCATTTTGAAATATTGCTAACAATATAAAAGTTATTCTTACATTAGTCAGTAAATATTTAACAGCAGAAAGACACATGCAACACAACCTGAAGTTTTAGAAATATACTGTAAGGCCTTTTTCTTGCTAAAAAAGTATAAACTATCAATCAGATGACAGAAGGCATGCAGTAGATTGTGTACAACAGGTTTTGATCATGTTAAAGGGGTCATATGATGTTGCTAAAAAGAACATTATTTTGTGTATTTGGTGTAATGAAATGTGTTTATGCAATAGAGAGGCCTTAGAAATTTGTGTATAAAATATTATATATATATAAGTGAAAAAGTGAAAGTGACGTGAGGCCAAGTATGGTGACCCATACTTGGAATTAGTGCTCAAAAATAAAAGATGTAGTGATTTTTAAGACAACTGAATTGTAATGTATGAAATAATTTGGGAAGTAATAAACTCACTCATGTCATTATTTCTGTAATAGCAGCAATACTCCTGAACCACTGTAAATCTGCTCTAAAATCTGAAACACAAACAGAAATTAGTCACATAAAAAGCTGGCTGCAGAGAAAATGCTTCAATTACATTAGAGGAAATAATAATATTTTAGCTTAACTGGTACTAAGGAGATTATAACCAAACGAAAATAAAACAAAAACATCTGAATTCATAAAAATAGGTGTTCAGGTTTCAAGATAAAAATATCACTTTGACCTAGTAAGCCTGAGAAGGGTCATGACCTTAAAGTTAAAGACCCTAAAGTCATCTTGGTAAACATTCTGCAAAGAAAAAAAAAACACTCTGCTATACCCAAAATGATGGCTTAATTGAAGCTTAACATTTTACCCTAGAACTAACAGTTCTGTCCATCCAAAAATAAACTATTCAGCCTACTACTAGATCTTTTACAAGGCCGCAGATGTTGTGATGTGCTGCCAAGCCTGATAGACGACCTGGCAAGACTTTCCCCAAAGATAAACATTTAGTACTGTAAAACCAGGACCGAAGTTCAGCTGTCATAAGAACAGAACTTATGAGAATATACAGAATTCACTACACCTTCATTACTAGTTAACTGCAGTTTGATGTTCACGATACTCATCACAGTCTTACGTCATTGACATCAACTTGCCGAATGTCACCTAAAAATAAAAATTGTGCCATAATTTACTCACCCTCACCTCATTATATATCTGTGACCTTTTCTTTTGTGGAACATAAATTAAGGTATTTTATTGTGTTTTAACTGTTTTCGTCTACACAATGATAGTCAATGGGGTCCAAAACAATAGTCTGGCCCCCTTTAAATTTTTTAAATTGTTTTTAAAAATTTTGTGCTCCACAGAAGAAAGAAATGTGCATAGATTTATAGTGTTGTTTTCTATTAAATGTGCGCTTTGGGTGTTTGCATGAAAAAATAAAATCAAATAAAGTAATTTAATTTACATATATTTCTAGTGGGAGTACTAAATAAATAAATGTTGTAAAATAAATACAATTTATGGGCATCTCCATTCATGTGGGAGTGCATAAATAAACAAATAAATAAATAATTTCATTTTTAATTAATTTATTAATTTTATTACATCATTAAAATGTATGATCACCTCGCTTCATGTGGGAGTGCATACCTCTTTGTAAAATAAGAATAGGCACGGTCTCTCTACAGGAAAACACCCAGCAGGAAAGAAGCAGTAAGAGTGAGCTGTTGTACTCTGACAAGTTGCAAGACATGTCCAAGGAAGTGCATGTGTCATGAAGGCATACACCCCTGAGGCCAATCTATATATAGCAGTGGTGGTGTGGTATGGCTTTCACTCATATTAGGCTTCCATATTCCAACAGGAAGACTACAATGATCAATGAGCACCTTCTGAATAGAGATGACAGCATCCTGTTCTTTTCATCAAGACAGTTAGAAAGCTAAAAAAAAAAAAAAAAAAAAAAGAGATTTTAACAATAACAATTGTCTTGTTTACATAAAAATGTACACAACTTCACAAACAAGGGTAGCTGCTTTGACCCAGTTTGGTCCTTTAAAATGCATGCAATCATGATAAAAGTTGGGTCAAAAGGGCCTTTCGCACTGCTTTAGTTCCACAACTAAATGTACAGTACTAAAGTACTGGGACGATTTTGCGCGAACTATTTCCCAGTACCAGACAGTGTGTACTAAGAAGTGACGTAAGCCAGTCGTCAGCGAAGTCATTTGTGCGCGGCGTTCAACAACAGAAACAAAGAAGAACAACATTAACAACAGGAGGATGGAGGACGCTGTGATCGGAGCTGTGTTTTTGTTGTGTGTCGCGGGGTTCACAATAAAGGACATGGAAAGTCGACGTATACGTAAAGCGATTGAAAGAACGGAAAGGAGGACTAAGAATCTCCAACGACAACTGGCAGTGCTACATTTGCTACAAGTGACTGCACTTGAGCGTCCGTCCATCTATCGCTGTTCTCCATACTTGCGAAATAAGTTGACACAATGTTTACAGTATGTTTACACGGCGTTTTAAATCATGGCAGGTGAGGGCGTTTTCATACGCGTTTGGCCAATCAATGTCTACTTGCGTCACGATTAGTACCAGTTGTGGGTAGTGAGTAGGAGCTAATTTGGTTCTCGAAAAAGGCAGTCCGGTACTAAAATCGCACCCAGTTCCGGCGGTGCGAAAACGCCAAAAAGTGGGTAGTTTCACAATTAATTCTGGTACTATGAAAAGGTTCCCGCGGTGCGAAAGGCCCTATTGTGTGTGTGCTTATCAAGATTACTACTATCAAATTACATCAGCTCACAGTCAGTCTATTGTGTTTTGCAAATAGCCTCAAATATTTAACATTTAGGCTGTTTCTATGCATGGTTTGACTATCTGGTCTGAACCACAGTTTGATTTCATCCGTGGGTCTCATTTTACATTGAATTATTTGGGTCCAAACTTTTGGGTAAAATTATTTTTATCATCACTAAGACTACAAGCAGCAGCTGATAATCACTGTAACTGGCTAACAACTTAGAATGAGAAGATGGCAGATTCACTGTTTTTGAAGCATATATGGTTACCCATCAAAACGTGTGTTTTGATTTTTATTTTATTATCATTTGAAAATATAATCATAAAGAAGCCTCACCAAGCTATCTGGGATTGCTATACCAGAATTCACATGAACTTCACATATAAAATTTAATATGAAGCACAGTGTAAAATAAAATAAAATAAATACAATAAAATTAAAAAAGAAAATTAAAAAAGAAAAATACAACAAAGTGACACCAACTTGCCACCGCCAATGAAGAGTGACCCAACAGCCTATTCCGGATCAACAGAAAATTTAGTCAACAAATATCAAACATAACATAACATAACATAAAAATAAAGTCTGATGTCAAACAGAGTGGCTCTTCTTTAGTGAGAAAGCACCCCTAATACTCCCAGCACATGACACTGATAAAACTCCCATGAAAAACTTTTTTTTTTTTTTTTTTTTTTTTTTGCATACTGCAGAGAAAAGCCTTCCATCAGTCACAAAACACCTGCACTCATTAGCACTCATAAAATACAGCATAATGATAGAACACATTACTGTCTTTGTCATCCTGCCAGAAACAGTTGGTCGTTCTTGTTTACAAGCTTGTACTTTATGGGCATTTCAATGGTCTATAAAAAGGAACGATAACAGCAAGGAGATTAGCCTAATGCTAGAAGCTAGCATGACCTATCAGCTAACACATGATTTGAGCAACAGTTCTGGCACCGATTCATTTTCGAATGACATCCACACATGAAGCAGCACGGACACGCATACCTAAACTCACTCAAATTATCTCAAATGAAAATCACACACAACTGGGTTATTCTTCAATTGGAGTGCCGAGATTTTGAAAAAAAAAATATATATATATTTTATATTTTTATAAATACGTTTTTTCAAATATTAAAAGGTATTAATTAACATTAAAGAAAGTATTCCGAAGAATGTGGGTTACAGTTTGCAGTTTCTAGAATGCAGTTTCTTGTCCACATTGACTGCCATAGTATGGAAAAAAAATATGGAAATCAGGATACTATCCCTTTAGAAACATTTTGATCTTTAATTTTATTTTGAATGTAATTTCACTTTTTTATTAAAATAGAAAAAAAAACTATTTTTTAAACTAATTTATTAAAATGTACATGTTAAATAAAATCGATATTCAGAATAGAGCCACATTATTTGTGTTATATTGTGGAAATTGCATCCCGGGATACCTTTTTTACTTTTAACACATTGTTTTCAACCTAGAGGATACAAATATGCAAATATTTTATGAATTATTGGTATTTAAAGTTTATTTCAACGAATGTAAAGTGACACCAACTTGCCACCGCCAATGAAGAGTGACCCAACAGCCTATTCCAGATCAACTGAAAATTTTGTCAACAAATATCAAACACATTTACACCAGAAATGTAAATAAAGATATATAGATATAAATTCACTAATAACATTTGAATGGTTTGTATATAAGCATCACCACATCTATAAAGCGGGAATAACAACAAAGAAACCTCTGGAAGGAAGTTTAGGTGATTAGCTCAGTTAAATTAGCTGCTAACGTAGCCACATTCCTTTAGCTGAAATGCACAGACGTGGTGGAGACACACTGACTCATCACAACAGCAAACAAGACAATGGCTGTAATGCACTATGGTCCATGGTGTTCGGAGGTGTGGTGACCAGATGAAAACAAGTGTGCTAATGATGGAAACCTCTCTTTCACATTCTCAATTTTACCATGAGTGTCTTGTCACATGTCTGGACCTCTGGTCACGCCATGCTGCACACCAGCTATGTCCCCCTACTGCTCACTACATGTGACTACTGACCCAGACAACAAACACAAAGAAAATAAACAACCGAACCTACCGACACAGCTCAGACTCAACTCAGACAGCCACTCCTGCAACATTTAGGACAAAGAAAGAGAAAGCCGACATAAACAGCCGCAAACAAGCAACCAGGCCAGACACAATAAACTAACAGAATCTTAACTTAAGAGAGTGTAAATGATGGGAGACAAAAACTTGTTTCTATTAGACTTTGGATCGGATCTAAATATACACTACCATTCAAAAGTTTGGGGTCTATAAATTTTTTTTTTTTTTGTTTGTTTTTTGAAATAAACTTTTATTCATCACGGATCAATTAAATTGATCAAAAGTGACAGTAAAGACATTTCTAATGTTACAAAAGATTTATTCTTCAAATTAATGCTGTTTTCTTTTTTTACTTTCTATTAATTAAAGAATCCTGAAAAAAATGTATCACAGTTTACATAAAAAAATATTAAGCAGCACAATCATTTTCAATATCAATAATAATAAGATTTATCAGCAAATCCGCATATTAGAATGATTTCTGTAGGATCATGTGAAACTGAAGACCTAATGATGCTGAAAATTCATGTTTACCATCACATGAATAAATTACATATTCAAATATATTCAAATAGAAAATAGTTCTTTTAAATTGTAATAATATTTCACA